AACTATGTCTGGTATTATACTCCGTCGGTTGTCTGCCGCACGTGAAGTGTGCACGTGTGAAAACCAGGCTGGCTTTAGACCTGGTTTAGGTCGAATCGACCACATCTCCACTCTTCGTCAAGTTCTAGAACAAAGATACTCATTTCGTAGACCCACCATTTCTATCTTCCTGGATCTGACAGCTGCTTTCGACTCCGTCGGTCACTCCAAACTCTGGCACTGCCTCGCTCTAAAGGGTGTGTCTGCGAAGTTGATTTCAATATTACAATCCCTTTATAGTAATAACCGAAGTCGAGTTCTAGTTCACTACAGAAACTGGTGTTCGACAGGGTTGCCGTCTCTCTCCTTTTCTATTTAACTTTGCCATAGATTTATTTCTTGAAACAACCCTATTTTCGTGCGAAGATAGCGGTATCGATTCACTCCCAGGTGATGGACTGTCTAATCTAGATCATACAGATGGCATTGTGCGACTAAGTGAAGATCTAGGTCAGTTGCAAGTTTTTCTGGATAGTTTGAGTGCTAATGTAGCCTTGTTCGGTATGCGTTTTGCACCTTTAAAGTGTATAATGTTACTCCAAGATTGGGTTGGTCCAGCACCCACTCTCACCCTGACTGGGGAAGTAGTAGAGGAAGTGGATAAGTTTTGCTATCTGGGCAGCTATATCTCACCTGGAGGACGCATCACAGATGAAGTGTCGGGGCGCTTACAAAAGAATCGGTTGGCATTGACCGACATGAGACATCTATGGCCAGTCCTGCTGTACGGTGCAGAGACTTGGCCACTACGGGAACAAGATAAAAATGGATTGTAGGTGTTCGAACACTGCTGTCTACGATGTATTGCACTAATCTGGTGGGGAAACAGTACAGGCAATGCAGAGGTTAGACGCAGGGATGTAGGTACTCACGGGCGTCCACTGGAGCAGGTAGTTGACCTACATAGATTATGTTGGTTGGGGCATGTGTTGCGCATATCACCAGATAGATTGCCACTGCCAACAATGTTTGCCGAGGCAGGGCATGGTTGGGAAAAGTTAAGGTTAGTCAAAATAAGACCTGACATGAGGGTATGAAAACCCTAACCAGGAGACTGGGTCACATAGATCCCGTTAGGCTCCTCGTCTGGGGACCCCAAGACCTAGGTAACAGTTAGAGACACTGAGCTATATGGCTGTGTCGCAAAATGTGACGCTCATGCATCTACTCATTATTCCCTCTAACACCAGTCTGCATGAATTCTCTAACGTCTGCTTCAATTGGATTTCAGCATTCCAATCTTCATCGTTTTCTTTTATTCAACTGGTCAGCCAGAAGACAGCAACCAAAACCGGCGCATGAAAGAGCATGGTTGATGGTTGTAAAAAACTGAAAACTAAAACTATGTATAAAACGTGATGAGCAGCGATTTGCAAAAGAGAGATTCTGGGGTGATGGAGAGGATAGGGCACTGAAATATCATTCTTCAGAGTGAGACCATCTGCGACGTCGCATGAGAATGACCATAAACGCAGCGACGTGTGAGTTGCTGATCACAGTGACATTGGACATCACTGACCGCTAAAACCTTATATGAATTATATTCATGAATTTGACTGGTTGTCTTTTTGCCATTTTGGATGCGATTACCAACTAATTCTAGGATACAATGAAATGGGAAACGGTAGCTTCTGATATGGAGTAGGAATTCGCACGGATCATTTTATAGCAACCAGTTTTTAAATCGAGTCCTCTTTGGTTATGAAACAAGATGCACTAATTCGTTTGTTTCTGTTCTCTCATTTTCTTTGCACCCAGTCAGCTCAAATACATTTATGTAGAACTCCGACTAGACTATTACATAAACTAATGACCGCTTGGTTCCGATTCACACGGTGGTCCAGTTGGTACCAAAATCTAGCGTTTCTCAAAAGCATCTGCAGTAGAAACCAAAATGCGAACAGTACAATTTTTAACAAATAAATTTTGCATAACAATTGTTTTGCTTGGCATGAATTATCAATCGCATATTGCGATGACCCAATTAGACGTTAGTTTACGCCCATAAAAGTTTATCTATCTAGTCCGCAAAAATATTACTCGAAACCGCTTTTATTTTTGCTTTCATCCATGCTCGGACATTTTAAACAGTTCTGATCATCGCTCCTGTCAGATGGGTTATTTAACACAAGTACAGCACTTTAATACTGAGCAATCGTCACCGAATAAAAATTACACACTCCCACGTTGAAATTGTATATGAACTCGTGCAATCACAGAGATGAAAGATCTTTTTAGGCCACCAAGTTTCAGACATAATAATGTCATCATTATGGTTATTATTACCCCTTCAAATGAGATAATGCCATCTTGCATGAATTGTTGCACAGTTCGCAGTCTCTTCACTTTTTACAACTATACCTTGGTAACAGTTAAATTGATTCTATCAGTCTCATGTGATCTTCTTTCGCTTCCGGTTGTCATGCATTTTTCCAACTCACGCATATAATTATAAATCATCCAGTTCCATGGCATTCGCTTTATCCGCATTTACCCCTAGAATGAGCTATATGGATATTTTATGAGAACTTGTTTTTTTCTTGATTCTCATTACTTGTTCACACTTGATGCATGTCAATGTTTATGCATTTGGCTCGATTTCACACTGGCAGTTAAGGCATTTCACACACACTTGGTACATATCCCGTCAGATTTTATTCTCATCAGATAATGTTAAGTTTATACTGTACCGAATTAGCCTCAGTCCGAGCCGGGCCTGTAGATACAAGTTCACAATGGACGATTGAACTGACCGTGAATCTCGATCTGTTTGCATCCGGCAGCCAGGGATCGGATTGAACAGTTGCATCTTAGTTGATTGTTGTGACAGTAAATCCCACTAAGGTTGTGTATTGTGATTTGTGTTTAGGTCACAGTGGGATTAACCAAACTGATAGTTCACAATTCTCACCCTATCAGCACCAAACTTCCTTGTTCTATTTGTTCCCCTATTGATTTGTTTGCTTTTCAGAAGACGGTTGTGTTAACATGCTCAAACATTAGTAAACGTACCGTGGTGGAATTTTATACATGGAGGCAAGCCAAAAAATCCACGGACTGATAGCAATTATATGTATGCGGTATATTTGAATAAAAAAGGGAATATGGAAACCGTATCAAATTCAGAAATCAAATAGCAGCAATATGTGGGATGACCTCACAGCCCTATTAGTGAATTCAAAATAATCTAAAATGATTTGCGCCATCGGTTGCAACGCTCGTAACATGCGTAATAAGTCAGCGCGAAGAGGATACTGATAACAGACGGTGTATCACATCCTTCAACCTCAGTTCGAATGCAATTGTGCGTTTATTCATTTTGTTAGGATAAAGTTAACAAATATGAGAAAATTATAAAGTTGAGTTAAGATACGAGCATCGTCTTTTTATGATATTCACATGTATCGCTCACTGTGTGTAATTAGGCCGATTTTGAGTTCCGTAACCGGGCGGCCTTACATGAATTACGTCAACAAACGTTTTGTTCAATGTTGTGATGTATTGCGCTACGTCATGTCATCGTTGGCGTTCTTCAATAGGCTGAGAATGCCTATCCAGTGGCATATTTACCACATGTTTCGGCTATCATCATTAATGAAGTTCAAGAATTTGATTATGTGCGGTTACCTCGTAATTTCCATTTAACCTCGCCACTGCTGCTCTGTTTGTTCCATCAGACCCGTAGGACATTGCGTAGACAGAAATAGTCAAGCACTTATAGTGAGCAGGTATTTTCTGTATGGTTGCTCCATCATTGCCAACATTTTCATCAAGGAATTCTATCTCAAGGAATGGTTTTCACAAGTGCGCTGTTTCTGTTTAACAGACTCGATAAACTTGGGTCAAAGCTAGCAGCTTTGTGAAAATCCTTCTAAAGCTAATTCGCTTTTGGTTTTGAAAGGGAATCCGTTTCTTTCTTGTAAATTAGTCAAACAGGCAGTATGCACTGATCATCGGTAGTCGAGGGGTTTTCGCAACTCAAAGGACTGAGATAAAATATAAATCCTTGAAAATGGATGAATCAACCTCCTTCAGTTTAGATATCTTATATCTCTCACAGTAGTTTGTGTCAAGCTAATTTCACTTCCGTAAGGAGGAGATATATCTGCTTGTGACGTTGTGCTTCGATCGAAATCAGTATAAGAAGAAAATTCAAATTGGGTCCTGAAATGCTCTGACAGACTGAGTGGGCGAAATCATAGTATTGATCTGAAAACTACAACTTTATCCACCTTTAACTAAAACCCTTAGTCCTTTAGCCTAGACGCGCAAACTATAGTCATACCACTATAGGCGAGTCAGATTAAAAGATATCGGAATATTCTGAGATCAAGAACTGTTAAAACATTTTATTTTTTATAAATGTTGATGGTAAAAAGCTGGGTTAATAAATGAGGTGTGACGATCGCATGCTGCGCAGCTAACCACTGCAACGGTATCAGATGTCACACCACACGTTGATTGGAGGGGATTCAAACGATGTAACCGTATTTACAAACCATTTGGCACGTCTAGTATCGTTTTAAGATTTCAGTGAACCAGTTTTCAATGTGGTAAAGAATAAGTGAATTAAAGGGTTAAAAACGCTTGCCTGTTTGAATTTACTGAAGGTTTCATCCAGTGGATTAAAAAAGAGCGGTATAGTGGAGGAAATTGAATTTTTGAGTTGACATGTTATCGCGCATCCAAAGCTCTCCAATGAACGTTTGCTTTGTCAAAGATAAAAGCAAATGGAACATCCAGAAGCTCCGTAGCGATTGACGGGGGACATCTTGATAGAAACCCAATGAAAACAAGCCAAGTGATCTTTGTATGACATTCATAGTTGAAAACTGGTGATAGATAAACATGCTATTATGTTTAAGTTGGTTCCTTTGCTGGATGTAAGGTTTCGAACGGCTTTACTGCCCACTTTGGAGTGTACATAGCTGTGACAGTGCCATATGTTGTAGTTGGTCTGGTCAACATACAGCCTCAGTATATTCCGCTAGTTTTACCATGACAGTTTCCGAGTTCCGCTCCGCGGGCTGGACAGTCAGCTTCTTAACCAAATAGTGATGTCCATCCAGCAGCCGAACAATTGAAGTATTGCTAATAGATGTGCCCGCGAAGTCCTTCTTTATTCTTTCCTTTAGCTGCCTCAATGTGGCTGTAGGGTTATCATCGACACCACCACAAAAATATTTTGTGAACTCGTCATTGAGTTTTACCTCGTAAGATCCAGGTTTGAGCGTAAATTCCCCATTCGTGGCTCCAATAGCACGACATGTTTTGATCTTCATATCCAAATGTTTTGTAGCTTCTTTCAGATCACCAACTCTGAGTGCACATTCAATTACTCTCCGTCGGACTTCCGCTTTGGTGAAGCTATAGGGCTTTTTCAGTTCATACGATTTAACGTCCTCCATATTACAAATGCGTATGGCGGTAGGCAAAGTATAACTAATATTACTTTCATCCATCGTGGTGTGTTATAGCCCAATAGAGATGAAGCAAATGCCGCATGACAGTAATACAATGGAAATCTAACATGCACTACTTCTTCGAGGAAAAATCTCAAACGTAACACAAAGAGGACATTGTTTTGCATTCACAAGCTCTGAAGTAAATCAAAAAAGTGATGACACAAGAATGTGAATGCTTACCGTTCCGTATCACCACTGAAAGTGAACTCTGTTCATGAGCTGGGGATACGTTAATATACCGGGGATAATAAACACCTTTCATCTACCGGAAGGGTACACTTGCTTTTTCAATCCTTCTATACACCGGTCACAATGTGTTGCTGTATATCGTTTTTGTTCCTCTGGAACCTTGTGCCCATATTTTCAGTTTTTCCCAACCATTTTGTTTTTATGCTGTATATATAAATGCATTTTCCCGGGAACCCCTGTAAGATCTCTAACCATTCTCCTTCCGTCGTGGTTTCACAATTCCAGCCCAGATCGATTAGAACGAGCTTGGTACAAGAACAAGTCAACTGATGAGGAAAACGAGAAAGCACGTAAGGCCTATCGAGCTTTGATGACCATCTCGATACGCAAAACGGATTCCGAAGAGTATAATAATTTCTCGACCATGATTAAATCTCGTGCACGAAAAGATTACAACGAAGATTTTTATGATTCCGAGGTGAGTCCGATCAGCAGAGTATGTCGATTTGGCCTGAAACATTGTGGACGATGAACGCTGTTCTAACTGGTTAGTATTCAACATTTCGTTTATGATGGTAATGGCTACTGTGACTGATTTGATCAAATTTCCCGTCAATTAGCCCTCGTTCTTGATTCCACACATAACCTCACTCATTCCGAGTATATTGACCGATACCAGTCATTTTGTTTTTACGTATCAGTCGTATTTCACTTTCGTCTCCTAACCCCGGGAGAAATGAAACAAACCTCAACTGTTGAGAAACAAGTTTTGGGGAAACTACCATGTGGCAAGATTTTATTTGTTTATGAAAATGCATTCTTCGGTTTAAACAAACATTAACCATGAACTTTCGGGTTATGGTATTAGTTGCTATCTTTTTTCGATCAACTTGGAATGGAGGGTAGGTTAGAATGATGCAATCACTGTTACCGTCGAAAAAGAGAATTCATGAAGACTGAGATTGTAGGAATCATATCACCTTCCTTCTCTAACCTTGGTTTACGCTGATCCCTAGTTCGCCATCTATGGAGCCTCACGCGACCTATGTGAAGAAATCCCCTGGTCATGGTCCTCATACCCTTTTGTCAGGTATGAGTTTGGCCACCCCTGACATTTTCCACACACTACCTGCCTCGGAAAGCATCGTGCACCGTGGTAATCTATTTGGTGGCATGCGTAGCATATGCCTCAATCCATGTAAGCTATGGAGGTTGACTGCTTTCCCCTGTGGGTGACCACGATTAATTTAAGCTCATCCCCTAACCTCAGTATTGCTTGTATGATTTTCCCACCAGATTCATGTAATGCAGCGTACACAGCGGTCTTCGAACACCGACGGTTTACAATGATTCTATTTTCCTAATGGTTCAGCCTCTGAGACGTATAGCAGGACCGTGTGAGGCGTTGCATCGTATAGCCAACCGTTTACGGACAGCCTCATGTTGCACAGCGCTAGGGGTGTCCCAAGTTGGCAAGTTGGCCTTATCCGTGATGGGTCCACTTGGTGAGGTGCGGCTTCCAAAATAGCAAAATTTCTTCAATCCCCTTACTAATCCCTCAATCAAAATGAGGTTGGTAACTGGGCCAACCTAGTCCTGTGGTAGTATTTTACACTTTGAAATGCATACCGAACATGGGTACACTAACCCTTACTATATCTAGAACAGCTTGCAACTTACCCAGATCTTCACTTGGCAGCACGATGTAATTTGACAATCTGTCACCTGAGAGTGAATTGATATCCTTATTACCAAACGAGGACAGGGCTGTTTCTATAACCCAACCAATAACAATTTTGAATAGAAAAGGAGAGACAGAGGGCACCCTGACGAACATCACCTTCAGTGGTGAGATTGGGCGAAAAGGTGCCGTAAGCTCAGATCCGGATGCTGCTTTGATATATAGAGATAACCATCTCAATCACACTCTTTAGATAGAGAGACAGTACCAGAGTTTATAAAGCGGTCGATGGAGCGGACAAAAGCCGCTTTTGGTTGGAGGAAGATAGAACTAATGGGCCTACGAAAGAAACGTCTGTGTTCCAGAATTTGGCGAACAGTGAAAATGTGGCTCGTTCAATTCCGACCAGGTCTACAACCATCCTGGTTATCTCGAGGGCGACAGACGATTGCACACGCAAGAAATTTAGAGACAATGGTGGTCAAACTAACAACGTCTCACTCATCACTTCAAAGCCCCGGAAACACTACGGAATGATTCTGATTCTAATTGGGATGGGAGATGTTATTAGTCCACCGAGTTAACCACCTGGGCTACCCCGAGCGGCTCTCAAACTGCTTGCAAAAGGTCTAC